TCCATTTGCCATATTGTTTTCCTCCCAGATTTTGTCACTAATGAAGATTAAGATTTATATATGTGTTTGCACATATACATATTTCTGTGAAATGTCTTTCAGCACCCCAGTAAAACACCAGGAAGATATTTTTCAATGGATTGAAAAGATTTCTGTTTTTTTTTTTTTTCACTCTGCTACTCCAAAATGTCAGAAATATCAGTGTAGTGATGCTCTAGGTGAAAATGCAGCAGTGTCCTATCTTTAAGCTTGAATCATTCTAGACAGAGGTCCTATTCCTTTAAATACTTCCTGCCCTTCAGTTTTAACTCTCTTGTGCAGCCTCTCAGACATATAACAGGAAATAAGCTATAGTTTTATTTCTCTACAAAAGTATTTAAGAAAAATGAGTACTTTTGCTCCTCTGGGTCAGAACATTCCTCTGTAACATTTCAGCATAAACATAGAGCAATGGCTTACATATTAATTTAACTCCTTGTTTGAGATGTAAAAGACTTGCACAAGCAATGCACTTGGCATACGTCAAATCTCTAGTGAAGCCCAGCACTCACTGCCTTGACCACGGCACTTTGCTGTGCTTCTCTGCAGGGAAGCCCTCTCCCTGCTGCTGCCCATGCCTGCCCCACCAACACCCCACTGCTATGGCAGATCCTGCCTCTGCTCAGTGGGGCTTTATTCACCATCACTGCCTTTCATAGCCATCTCATACACCCATCTGTCTCCAACTTTTTCCTGATTTCAAAAAGTTTCAGTTTTCACTAGAAACCTGCTAACTGGTTTTAACTGAGATTAAGATATAGAAAATCACAACTTTTCTGGTCCCAGTGAGACCATTTCTAAAATTCCTCTTGAGCCAGGAGCTCATTTAGCCCAGAATGAGTAAAAGCAACCTCAGAATCATCAAGCTTGATCCCCCAGGCAGGAGCTGAGCATCCACACTGCTCTTGGGTGCTGGTACCAATGCTTGAAGGAGACCCTCCTAGCTCAGCCCTGCAGCTCCAGCTGCCTTCTTTTAACGAGGCACACACAGAGCACACACAAACACACACCCTGCTCTCTAGGAGCCTTTCCCTAAATTTTTAGACAAGCGAAACATAATTTCCAGCACTACAAGAGAAAGGGATCTGGCCACATACCCTTGCAGAGGGGCTTGCCAAGGCAGAGAGCAAAGTGTGACTCTCCTCAGGGAGGCGTGGCAGACCTTCTGTCCTTTATACCTATGAGAATCTTTCCTTCTATGATGAGGCATAGAAGCTAAACTGAGCACTGCTTTATCACAGGTACTGCTACTCAAGAGCAAACGCAACAGCAGGAAAAATAACACACACAGAAAAAGAAAGAGGCTGAGCTTTTCCCACTCACTAGTTTTCATTTCAAAGCAAGCAGCCAAACAAACAAGCACCTGACAGCATGGGCACTGTGGCATGCCAGCTCTGGGAGGACCCCAAGGTGCACTCGGACAACATCTCCACACACCCCATGCTGTGCTGCTCTCTGTGAGGCAGCCTCGCACAAAATGTTACCGTAACTTCCACAGCAGCCACTGCTTAATGAACCATGGCTTAATCCATCAATGGAGCTGAGCCAAAACGAGTACAGTCGTGCTCAGGGCACATTTGTCCATTTTCTGGTGTCTCATGAATCCCAGCTGGGGGAGGACAGAGCAAAGCAGTTCTTTGACAGTGGATTCAGGCTGCAAAAAACCAAAGTCACATTACAATTAGCAATTGCACAAACCTTTCAGGAGGTGTGCATCAATTTGCAAAGTGTGCAGAGAACCTCTCCACACTCCATCCTTATTGCTGTCTTCCTTCAAAAAAATAAAGCCAAAGAAGTTAATACCAAAGTTCACCAACACTGGCATGAGCCTTGGCCTACCAGTTTATATATCCTGAGTAAAGAGAAGGGTTCATTTCAGAAGAACCAGAAAACCCACAGTCTTTTATGGGCACTAGATTCACTTCCTAAAAGGAGCTCCAAGGCCCACCATGACTTGCGTGAGGCAAAATCCAGAAGCAAATCCCAGGGCAGAACACCTGAGTGCAGGGAGGTGATGCCACTTGAGAAGAGAACAGTCCTCATTGTAAGGGACTGATGATGCTCCCTGGGCTCAGCCTCTCATTTTTCTTCTCAGGGCTGTGTTTGGCAGCATTGGCCACTCTTCTTGCTACCCCTGTGCCAGCTCAGAAGTCTGCTCCCTCTACCGCTCACTGCCCACGGCCAGCCCTTGCCCACATGGCTATTGGCTGCCCTGCCCTCTACCAGAGCAGCCAGCATAAAGCCTGGCACTCACAAAAGATGCTGTGCTGTTCCCTGACTCCTCACCATGCCTTATGCAGGGATCAAAGTTTCTGGTAAGAAACTGCCCTGTATTCCCAATATCAGGTGCACCAGTGCACCCCTCAGTGCAGCAATGACATGGGTAATACCTTCGGCTTTGTCCATTGACAGGATGGCTGGATGGAAGGAATTTCTGGGCAGTACACAGACTTTCTCTGAGTTACTGCCGAGCTGATTAAACCTATAGCATGGCCATCACGCTGGCATTACCCCACACTCACCGCATACACGGAGCACAGCACCTTCCTGAAGCCAGCACAGCCACAAGGTGTCTAAAATAATAAAATTAATTCAAATAAAGCTATAACTAATAAATATTGTGATCCAGGATTGGGCTTTTCCTTGTCCCTGGGAACAGCAATGCAGGAAGGAGCTAAGGAGCTCTTCAGGAGTCATTGTGTGGCTGGATAGGCTGATTAGCCTTGGCAGAGATCCAGCAATGCCAGATCCAGCATAATTTTCTATACAAATGGAAACACAATGCAGGAAGCCACAACCCATCTGTATGAAAAGTTAGGCCTGCAGAGTTTATTAGTCTGGGCTTCTGGCCACAAGAAAATACCTAATTTGCTTCTGGACTGCACCTAGCCCTGGAAACCACATGGGATGTTTTTGCTGGGCTATGTGTAAGCAGAGAGTAGGTGTCACCTTGATTATCCTCTGTTATATATATATATCTTTGAGGAGGACAGGCTATTTTGTACCAGTAGCTATCATGATGTATAATTACTGCAAAGAAATACAGGATGAGGTGTACAAGTCTATTTTATATTTATTCTTACATAGATGAGCTGTACCTTCAACTGTAATCCATGAAAAAAGACTTGTGTCCAGTCAGACAAATAGCTGGATCTCATGGCTCCCTAGGCTGGGCAGCCCACATCAGGCTGAAGTGGAGGTGCACGGGGTGCTCAATGGGACCAGGGACAGAGGAGGCCAAGCTGCTGTTACCATGTGTGGGCTGGAGCAACCCACGCCAGGAGCAGAGGGAGCCCACACTAGCAACAGCCACACTGGTGCACAGGGTCAGGGAGATGTCCTCTCTTTTATACAGCCTTGAAATTAGCTGCAAAAAGGCAAAGGAGGGATTATTCAACATCCTGCCACAATTCTGGGAAAGACAGCACAATTCAGGTTTGCTCCTCCCTTCCATTAGTATGCTGGGAAGGTGCAGAAAGGATTCAGAGCAGTCTGGTCTTGAAGGGATGAGACCCAGATTTTGCTGTCATGGAACATTAAGGCATTGCGTTCCTCTTACAGGTGAAGGAACAAGTTAGGTAGCACACTGCTCAGCCCTGACAGGACTGTGGCACTTCTAAACATGACCAGAAGCAAGATTTCAGACACCATGGGAGCTTCAATGTCAGAAGTACAGGTGCCTACTAATTAAGGCTCATCAAGGGTTGAGCATCCGCTCAGTGTGTATTTGGAGGAGCACACTTTGATGGAGGTGCTCAAAGCAGGACTGAGGTGTACAGGAAATCTGGCAGTACATTTGCAAGCTTCACCTTCGTGCACGTCACTTACCTGAAGTTCATTTTTAAGCACAAACACTCCAGTTTCTCCCTGTGGTAGAATTTGAATGTCGTAATAGCAATAAAAACCACACAAAGCAAACTAAATCAACCAAACAAAAAAATCCCAACCAAAAAAACCCCAACACATGAACTGCAAAAATGTGCATTCTGCTTTTTGTGAATTTATATGTTCCACCCAGCTATGCAACAGAAGTGCCAGCAGACATACAAACTCTAGCTTTGCAGTCTGGGCATTTGCTATCCAGTAGCAGCAGCAATCTGAAAGTGGGGCAGTGGCAGTGGCAAGTTTGCACCACTGATGGTATTTAGAAAATGTGCTTATCAGACAACTTTTTAAAATCTTTCTTCCAGTTACTGCTTTGCTTCTTACCAGTGTGCCCAGTGCAGTCTGTGCCATCACTGTGGTGCTGCATATCACAGCACTGATCCTGCAAGGGCCAGAGCTCCCAGGGAAGGTGGACAGCTTGCAGGGTGAGCTGTACCATCTATTGCCGCTCTACACAGCCTTTTGCACCCTGAGTTGCCTGTATTTCCCAAGCTGCTGATCTCTGTTCACAGCCTTGTATGTGACTCCAGGCTGCTGGGGGCAGAACAGTCACAGCTTTCCTACAGAAACTAGTGCAAGACTTTTTTTTCCACCAGAGAAATTTTGCCGCTCTTTTACACTCTGCTTCTAAGGGAAAGCATGCTTAAAGCTGTGGAGAGTGTTAAGCACTATCCCAGGTTGCCTTTAAACAGGAGAGCATCACCCTCCTCTTACTCTTACACTCCTTAGGAGACCTAAAATTACTGCTGTTTGTTGTGTAGCAAGACAGAAAGGCTGTGTCTCACATTGTGATGGACTAGATTACTCCGCTGACTTTTACCTTCAGCAACAGGCTCCATGTATATCAGGATACAGTTTAAAAGGAATAATCATCTTTTTAATAGATCACATACTGAGTCACAAGCTACATATTCAACAGAAAATCAAGCTAATTGCTCACTTCTTCTAAGATATCCCTGAAGGATAATCGACGTCTGCAGAGCTGTTTCTTAGTTGGAAACTAAATAATTAAGATGAAGAAATGCATTTCTCTTTCAAGTTTTTCTCTGTATTTTCTTTTATTCTTCTTTGTACCAAATACATCAACATGAACATAAGCTATTGACTTTAATTAAAAATTAAAATTAGCTCTAGTTTTGTTTTGTTAAACTCACAGCTGAAAAACAAAAGAGACTGTCAAAACAGGAAAAAAAAACATTTCAACCTTCCTGCCAGTTCTCATCCCTACCCAACATACCCAGCAAATCGTAAACATGCCGTGCATCATCTTCTTCCTGCATGTAACTCAAGAGTCTTCAGGAGGATTTACCGCACTTGGACTTCATCTTATAACTGCAGCTGTGTGGAATATAAATAAAGAAATGGACAGTACCATAACATGATAGATTTGTGAATCCCCAAAATTTGATAGGAATCTTCTTTATTAATTTAATCTATTACTGGCTAATTGCTTATGTACTGTAAACCTGCAAAGGTCAATCACAAAACCATAAGAAGGTATGAAACACTAACAAGTCCTAATACAATAAGAATGTAAATCAATAGTCTAAATGAAGCCTTGTATTGCCAATGATGCATGAAAATGTATTATTGTTAGGGACTACAAGCATGGGTTTCACTGAAAGCAATAAAAGAAAAAGCCATGCGTTTTGAGAGAAATACACTCTAAGCAGCATCTGTAAATACTGACTGTACAGTGAACTTTTTCAAAAGGGCAACTTCAACGAATAAGCCATTTCACTGAAAGATACTTTCTTGCACAAAAAGTAAAAGGAAAAAGGTGCTGATGCAATAAAGAAATACTTGACAAAGGCTAATTCTGAACTATATGGATGTAACTAAAGAACAAGTTTATATATATATTAAATATTGCATTTTAAACATATGTAAATAAATATTTCTATACATTAAACTTTCATAGACTTGCTTATAAACCTGCAGCCTCATCCCAGACAGAGTCCTATAGCTAATTCCATTCAAACAATTGTGCAAAGAGGACAGTTACTGCAGATGTTCACAGCTGTAGGAGGAAGTAGATTCCTTACCTGGAGCCTCTCTCCACTGTCTTGTTTTATGCCCATTTAGAAAATTCCTGCCTTCCTGAGTTTCTAACTGGTTCAGATGAATGTTAAGGAAAAAGGCTATTTTTAAACCATCTCCGAATTCTAAAAGGCTGCAGAATAGTGTTCTGTTTGTAGGAGCAATTTAGCTTTAAAAAGCAGCATGACATGGACTAAGTGAGGTAAGATAAGCCTTGTGCAGTGTGTTGCAGCGGTCAGCAGCAGCAGAAGCCAATCAGTCTAGAACCTGATTACTGAGCTGCACTGGCACGCTGCAAGGAAAGGTGTTACACACACATCCACCAAACTAGACATCCCATTTCACCTCTCCTATTACTGAAGAAATTTCTCACAGCAGCAGAGGTTTGGCAAATGTACTTCTCAAAATATTTTCGTGTTCCTCCATTTTCATTAAACCTCTATGCCAAACTGTCAGTTGTGAAAGTTGTTTCACTTGCGTGGCATTGTTAGAATATATTTCACAAGCAATGTAGACAGCACTTACTGTGAAATCTGTATTTCTTATTTTCCTGCTGGTAGGAAAATAGAATACTTAAAATCAGTTGGGAATCTAAAGAGTTAGATGTGCTACAGGCAGGTCTAAATTGCTATTATAAAGAGGTCCATTAGCAGGTTTGATCTGAGCAAGGAGGGTGTGCTAGTTTACCATATTAGTCTGATTTCTTCCCAACTAAATTCTGCTCATGAACTGTAGCAGTATTGAATTAAAGGAGTCTGGTTTTAAGGCCAGGCATGGATACTGGAAACAGTCATATAATAATCTACTCTTATGGTTCAGGCAGAAAAAAAAAAAAGGAAGCATTATTCTTTCAGAACATTTCCTTCCTCTTTAAATCTTCAGATACTCTGCTTTTGCTAAGGTCATTGCATGAATTTAAGATACACCATTCTGGAAACTAAATTAGCCCTCATTTACTGGGAAGTTGAATGCAGCCAGACTAATGGTGGTGCAAATATAATTGGTTCCCAACATGTGTCAGTGTGTATACTCCTCAAGCCACGGAAAAGATGCATTATGGGACTAATTTTTAAATGTTAATGGATATTGGATGTTTGCCAGACACCCAGCTGTGCACAAAACATTGAGATGGTAAATAGCTCTTGATCTGTTTAGAAACAAATTATAATGGCTGTTTGGATTCCACATGACTGAAGGCATGGTAACCAGCACAGGCTCACAGACTGACCCTATTAACTGCACTAAGGGGAACGAGCTGATTTTTAAAATCAAAATAAGAGACATAAAACAAGGCTATTAAGATGCCATTTAAATTATTTTAGATTAATATTAGGCAAACAAAATCTCAGCAGCAACCCATAGCACCTGTTACCATTCCCTACATGAGTGAACTTATTTAAGGGACTTACTTTTTGCTAGGTTTCTTTGAGAGGGGGTCAAAAAGAAATGCTTTCATCACACAATTAATTTGATTCTAAAGCTGAGTGAAGAGCTTACCTTATCTGAGTGAAGAGCTTACCTTACTTATAGAATAAAATCTCTCCTGCCTCATATCATCAATGGGTCTCACTGAGATGCATCAGGGAATAAGACCTCTTTTCATTTGATGTGTAGTTCTCATAATTTTAATTTAAAGTATATGAATATCAGTATTTGCAGGAAATCCCCCACTTGAAATGTCTTTCTAATTGTATTCATTTGGTCAGCAAAGCCCAACAGGGAATTTTTAATCAGCTGGATTAGGTGCTTTTGATTACAATACTGTAGCATTAGCAAAAAGCACCATTTTGCAAGTGAAAAGTGTACTAATTGTCAGCAACACAGGAGAGCTCTTTTCCATAAAGCTGTGTGTTCAGCAGTTTGAGACTCCTTTTCAGAAAAAGATAAGACAGTCACATGGATATTCAGGAGAGCTTCCCCTTTAGGATTTTGCTGCAGTTTGAGAAATTCTGGGGGAAAAAAAGCCTCCATGTCTAGGACATGATCAGTCCCTATCAAAATTCCTCCATAAAACCCCACCAAAACAGTAGGCAATTCCAAGTAGAAGAGCACAATGTCGTCGGATCAATGGGGAATGACTCAAGACTGCCTAAGAGCTGACTTTGCAATGTCATTAAAACATAGCCTGTCAATAATGCAAAATTTGTACTCCCCAACTAAGTTTCTGTCTTGAATTTGTGCTTCTTAGCATCTATTCTGTAGGCTGGTTTTTAACTGGGTGCTTTCTGCTAACGTTGGTACCTTACATAGCTTTTTCTCTATGATCGAAAATACACTAATGTATTAGGAAAGGAAGCCTGAGAGTTACTTCTCAGAGTTCTTCAAAATTCTTTTCTCAAAAGAATGTTGCTTTCAGCAAATGTAGGACATCTGTGAAAATAAAAGCATCCTGACCATCAGGATGCTATTCTAAGAGGCACCATTAAAAGATGTCAAAGGATGATTTTTTTCTCTGACAGCTCAAAAGTCTTGATCCATTCTTATAGGGTAAGTATGGAACTTGAAGAAATGTTTTCCTTACTGCCAATTTCAAGCGCTAAAAAAAAAAAAAAAAAAAAAAAGACGACAAAACCCAAAACCAAACCACAGACATCCTGCAAGCTGACAAGCCATGAGACAAAGTCTGGCCCCACAGAGACAAGCCCCAGGCTTTCTGCCACTCCACTGAGGGCAAGAGGGCATTGCTGCCATCCTCAGCCCTGCACAGCCCTGAGTGCATTATTTCAGTGGCATCAGGACACAGCAGAGGAGTTTTGCTCTCCCCAAAGAGTCCAGGCACTTATGGGCTAGGAATCATAACAACAACTTAACCTCCTCCCTGCCAGCAGAATATGAGAAAGTCACAGCACTGTCTGCAGCTACAGGAATACTGGTGAAGAGTCAGGGTTTGGACATCTGAGCTTTGTTGGTGAATTGGTCTCAGAAGAGGGAAGCTGAGGTGGTAACCAGATCTCCTCCGAGCTTCAGGAGGGGGGACTTTATGCCTCTGATGCTGTGCTGAGGAGATACGCTGTGCTGCCAGCTCAGGTTTCCTCCACCAATGTTAACAGGCAAATCGCAACTAGCTGATATCCCACAAGAGCAAAAAGGATAAAAACAAGCTTGTTGTTCATTCCTCATCCTGGACGGGGGTCTAGGAGTGCACCCACAGCCACGTGTGTTTCACACCTTTATAATGTAATATCGTCCATCCCAGCTGCAAGCAAACAGCTGGGACTCATGTTTCCTAGTAAATCATTGATTCAACATCAGAATTCAGACAGCACAACTACTTCGAGGACCAAGCTATACCTTCAGTTATGTTAGCATAAATCTGAAATAATTCCACTAAGACTGGAGAATTTATTCTTAATTTTCAAAAGCAAATGAGAACAGTCTGACCAGCACCATTCAGGGTTTAAATTACCTACATACAAAGTGTGTTTTTGCAGACGCAGAGTAATTTCATTAGAGTACCCTGCAAAATCTTTTACTTGCATAACTTGTTTCCATTTCTTTTTAGTGTAATGAGATTTCATGATGAAAGCCAAATACAATCTAGTATAGCAAAAGTGCATGTTACACTGATCCTAATAAGCCCAATGAAAATCAATAATGCTGCTAGTTTCCCTGAAATCAGCCTACATAAGCTCCAAGCGCCGTGTTCTGCCTAAAGCAGAGTATTAGCAGCTTATATAAGACAGATATTTCCGAGTAGAAAATCTCAAAAGAACCACAGTTAAGAAAGAGAAAATAAAGCAAATAGTTGTTACAAATACCAAAAAATATTGGGGATAGTTGCCTCCTGTCCTCGAGGTGTGGCTAAAAGATCAGTTCCCTTCCCTTTTCATCCTGTTGCCAGCTGCTACCAAACCACTGTGTTGACTGCAGCCTGCACAAGGGCGAGTCTCCAGGCCCTGGCTTCTCTGTCCTCTGCAAAAGAAAAACAACATTGTCCACCCATTTGCTAAACAAGGATGAGAAACTTTGCTCTAAGAAGCCCCATTTTCACTGACATAGAAATGAGGAATATAATAACACTGGGAAAAAAAAGTCAAGCACAGTGTATCAAGGAGTGTTATTAAAAATTCAGGCAACCCGATGCAATGAACTTTGCAAGGATGCATACATCATCTATCATATTTCATTCCTTTTGCTTGCAGCTTGCCCTGCATTCAGAAACGGGAAATGCTGAGTTAAGAGGGGAAGAGAGGGCAGGTTTGAAAGCAAAGACAAGAACGCACAAATGTCAGAAGAGAGAAAGCGACAATTCATCTATATGTTTAGGCATATACTGTATATCTGAGAGCAATAGCCAGCCTTATGTAGATTTTTACCCTGCATGTATTTCAAATAAAATCCTTCTTTGAAGTTTGCCTCTTCTTAAACAAGCTAATAAATGTAGGAAGCTTAAAGTATAATTTCCATTGCATTAGCAAGCTATTTTTTATTTGCATAAGAAAACATTTCTCTGTAATGATCTACCTTATGAATGACCTGAGGAAATAATTTCAGGTTGCTTTAAAATGCAACCATTTGTTTCTTATTGGTGAGTTCAATTTCACTAAAAGTTATGGAGTGAACAGCAATAGCCTATTTGCAATATTGGATAGCCAAAGGTGCATAATTATTTCCAGTTTACTATTAAAATAATATTTAAATAATTCAGCATGCAGTTGCTTTTTTCTTTTAATGGTGTACTATTAACAGGTTGGCAGACTTGCAAGAGTGAGGCATTTTATGAATTTTTTGAATTAGGAAATTCTTACAGAAGCAAATGTAAGCACGAGCTTTTATTTTTGTGTAACGTTTGCATTGGAAAGTCTTCCCTCAGGACAAGAATAGATTGAATTTCTGCAAGTGTATAACTTCGTGTAAGTAGCATATTTGTATTTAGTTACCAAATGTAAGTAGGGTAATTCTGAGTAAAAGGATTGTATATATGGACCACACACAGGTAGCATATAGAAATACATGTCATGGATACATGAGAGAGATACTTCTGCCTGTGACAGGGGGATGGAGCACAGCTCATTCTGCCTAGTTCAGAGGTTGTAACAGCTTCTGCCTGTACATCACAGGTATACAGTACTGTTGCTATGGAGACTGGCTCAAACGAGCAGGAAATTTCATTTTGATAAAGTTCTATTCTTGGGCAGAGGAAGAAGGATCTATATTCAGCATCACATATGGCATTTTTTAATGTTTGAGACACATGTTCTATAAACAACAACAGACTTGGAAAAAGCGAGTTGCATTTTCCTCTCATGATGCTGGCACCTGCAAATAACAACACCCTGGAAGCAGGTGGTGAAGTTGGGAACATCCCTGCAATGCGGATCTGCTCTTCACACCACAGAGACCACCAGCACAAGGGGCAGGGGTGCAGGTGGCAGCTCCCGGGCACACACCGACCCCGCAGGACACGGCCCAAGCACTTGCTGCCCAGGGAATCAGTAGCACATGGCTGTCCAAAACCAGAGAGGCTTTATTCAGATGAAAAGTAGAAAATTAATTTCAGATGAAACGGTTCATTAATTTTAACTTATGTAAAAACGTTAATATTTGTTAATCAAAGAACTCAAACTTTTTCAGATGGAAGATCTTTCCAACGCAATCAAGCAAAACAATGTTTTGAAAGCAGTGCAATTGTATTTTCACTTTTTCCAGTTCTCAACATACCAGGATTTATCAACTCTATTGATTCACTAGGGCTGACAGAAATTTGCTAGGCGATTCCATAGACCAGAACCTGCATTTTTCAGGAGAAAGAGGATTTTACTGAAAGCTGCCACCCAACTCTCCTCACTAAGATCAAAGCAAAGACAATTATCACAGGGCTGGAGAGCATCTGAAGTAGTTGCCTCTTCTTTTCTTTAACCTCCAGCCCTCAGGAGCACCTTCTGCTATCCAGGGACATTGCACCACGTGGTTCCCAGCCAGGGAACACATGGCCACTGCTTTTCCCCAGAGCCTGCCCAAGCCTTGAAGCCTCCTCAAACTGATGTGTGTTCCACCTACAGAAGAAACAAAACCTGCTATTTATGGGCAAAGTCAACAGGGGGATTAAAGCAAGAGTTGGGGACCAACAGAGGTCTGGAGGTGGCACAGGGTTGCTGAAGGGCAATGTAGCCCCTTGCCTGGGGGCTGTGAGGAGACAAGTTCATAGCTCATTTGGCAAACAAGGATCAGGAGGTATTTTTGGTGTGGGAAATTTGTTGTTAGTTTTGATGGTTGGTTTCTGGTTTGTTTTTTTTTTTTTTTCTTTTCATTTTAAATCAAAGTATTTGAAAGCTCTTAGCTGTTTACATCTAGCAGCCTTATGCAAACAGTTATTATACAAAGACCTTTTTGGGATCATGGGATTTTTTTCTGCACTAATTTGTAATAAAAATAATTTAAATATTAAAAATTCACTACTACTCTTAGACTTAGTGTAATGCTTGGAAAGTACAGATTATTAAAAGCCTTTTACCTCATAAACACCTTTCCTTAACATAACTAGTGTTTCGATCAGGAAAGCCATGGTGAAATCAATTCTGCTTCTGGCATATATTAAGCACTAGTCAGTGCTGAGAAGGCCTGTTGGCAAAACTGAGCCCTTAGCTATCACATGTCTTTTCCAAAACTATATCTAAATATATCCATAAATATCCAATGAGGTGGAATCTTCTTTTGCACCTCAGTATTGTGTTCTTTTATTATAAGAAAAATCTCTTTTGTACCATATTAATATCACTTGCCACAATAAAATACAAGAATTTGCTTCTCCCTCATCCCCTCCTGAACCAAGCACTTAGACTGCAGTAAGATAAAAAAAAAAAAAAAAGCCAAAGAAAAATATCAATAGTTACACTGGTAAATTGAAATACTTACTATCTTGGGGGGAAAACCTGTTATTAAAATAAAAATACCTGAGATAGTGTCAGGCAGTGTGACAATGAAGATGTCATTACTAACCAGAACTCTTCAGTCCCTTAGCTGTCAATAATTAATACATTATTTACACTTGCACATTCTCATTTCCCAGCTTTCAAGATTTCATTTACACTCTGATCCTTTGCTTAGCAGCAAATTTAACATCATTGTGACCTTCTTCTTCCTGGCACTATACACCTATCAAGCAGAGAAAGAGAGTAACATCTAATATGTGCATTTATTAAAGCAGAAAGCATCAGTTACTGGTAGAAGTGACAAATGCCAGTGTTTGCCACAATAAAATGGAAGAGAACCAAATTGCTCCCAAAGAAAAATCAATTAAGAAACCATCTTAATAATACAATTTGTGGGAGCCTCAGCATTTGCATGTTTTAGGGAAATGTAGCTGAAGTGTTTCTAATTAAAACCCAAAGGAATTAGCAAACTTATGAAAGCCATGCCACAAATTGCAGACAACCTTATGTTAAAGATACACCATTTTGACTATCTGAAATTAAAATATTCTGTTAGGTTGAAATAGCATTTTCCCCATCATGCTGAGGGGATACAGCCATTCCTAGGAGAAACAATGTCAGATGGTCACATGAGACGTAAATCACTGTTACATCACAGTGTACATAAATGTACATATTTATTTAGTATAAGGATATGCAAACTATCAGCATAAAATTTAACATATGTTAAAACTGTGCTGTAAGCAAGGATTGCCAGAACATAGATGACTGGGATAATTCTTTTGAAGTCAGTGCCAAGTTTCATGTTAAAGTTAATTTTTCTGTTTTGGAAAACAAGTATTCTGGACATATCCTGGCACACTGAGGCCAGACACTGGATGATTTTGAACTGAGAAAACCACATAACTTTGTAATTTGGGCTTGTGTTGACTTCAGTGTATTTTGGAGTACATCCTCAGTGCATTTAGAAACTATAATGAGTAAGAGCAGTAATAATCCTGCTTCAGTGGAGGAAGAGCTGGGAAAAGGAGATTACCCAGAGATGCTTTTCCCCATCCAGGCATTCCACCGAACCATTAAAAGAAATGCCAAAGAAGTTACTTCGTAATTTTTTTGGTTGGATTGAGTTTACGGGCATCGTTTAGAAGACCCTCTAAATCTATAGAAATCTAAAGCTCTGATGTTAATTTCTGGTAACTTTGCAGAAGGTGGGTGTATTCTCTTAGCCAAGCAGGCGCTTCCTCCAGCTGGAGTTTGTCTAGCTGCCAAAGTAACAGGGTTGCATTAGGCAGAAGAGATGATTTCTACAGAGTGACAGCTTCAGAGTTAACCATACCATTGACTCTCTTGGTCTCTCCAAGCACCTCTGCAATTGCCACAGTTCTTGCTCTTCTCTGTGGTGGGGATAGCACCCTTGTTAATCACATAGAGCCCTGGCTGGATTTGGCACTTCCTGAAATTTCATCTCAGGAGCTGTAATGAGAGGGAAAACACAGACACACTGGACAGCTTCTGCAAAATACTGTACCATCTGCCTGACCAAAAGGAGCACTCCAGCCACGAGGAAGCACCGAAGTGATGGGAACATGTAGTCCTACCTAAGGCTGGGCTTAGCCACTGCGTTCAGGCACTGAGGAGATGGAAATCTGTCTGAGACTAAAACTTCAGTTCACCTAGGCATAAACAACACAACAACCAGTCCAACAGTGCCATAAAATAATTGCACTGATAACCAGCTTCCACTTTCTTCTTGTATAGCCAGCATTCAGCTATCACTGTCAAAACCATGTAAAACGGAGAGGTCTGCATTAAAGACATTACTATAACCACCCCAAAGTTAATATCTCATTAATTGATTTACCATTGCATGACATATTGACTCCAGTTTCTACAGCCCTGTCTCTTCCTCTTCATCAGCTGGTGATCTCCAGTTGGCAGTGGAGTGGGCACATGCTGTTATTGCACTGTGGTGCCTGCTGCATTCTACTGTCCCTCTCTTTTCCCAATCAGATTTAGAACAACTGATTGCTACAATGCTGTAAAAAGAAAAAATAACTAACATTCGAGGAAAAGGACTTCATGCTTTATTTTGCACTCTGAGAAATTAGTATCATTCGTTGCAAATAAAAATTTCCAGGATGAATTCTTGCATCCCAGTTCTTATCCAGGAGCACAATATATTGGCTGAATTGTGTTTTCTTGTTAGCCATAGAGATTTTATAGCGGAAGTCCTGGCACAGTCTTTATGATGGAGGAGCAAACAGTGTTGCATCCAATCTGACATTAAAAGTAATAATTTCTGGGAGTGAAAATTCCAGACTGTGCACTGGAGTCAAATTGGTGAATACCCAAAATATGCCCAAATGCCACCCAGTTGCAAGATCTGTTCTGAATTCCTGAGCTATTAGGGGAATACAGTGTTTACAAGACATGACAGACTGATGGCATCTGCATGCAAATTCTTTTTTGCTTGCCACACAACAAATACACGTGGAAATCAGAGTGTAAATTTCCCTCTGTTGTCCTTTTCTGTAAATAACTCCTCGACAAGTGATGGATCAGCTTTATTTAATGGGTTAAGAAAATAGGGTGCTCTCTCAGTACAATTGTTCTTCATTTCTATTTGCTTTCATTTTTATAACTAACAGAAATACTAGTTATTTAAAATGAAGAATTTTGCAGTATGAGTAATTCGGAAGAAATTTTGTTAACTCGTGAACTACAAGGGGAAAGTCTAGCTCTCCTTTCATCACTATGCACTCCTTTGACTACTGATGCCTTTGTTTTCCCAAATGCTGACCTAGAAGTCAGCCATGCAAAAGAGGACATGGAAGAGCCCATCACTGACCAGGAAACTCCTTTGTCTTTCATCTTACCTGCCAATACTTTAAGCATTCCTTAAGTTTGGTAGGAAAAAAAATCAGATACAATGTTTACTTCCAATACAGCAAAATCATCCATAGCCCATTCCCTCCAGGATATATTTGTCAAAGGTGGGAGACTGAAAAGCACAAGACAATCAGCACTGCTTACTTCTCATTCCCATAGGGGCAAAGAAGAACAGACCAGAGAAAAAAAAGCAGTTGTGATTTGGTTTTTTTAATTGTTCCAGCATTCTCCACGAGAAAAGGAGGACCTGTCTGCTCTGTTCTTCCTGTATCTCATTCCAATTTTACTTTTCATATGTGCACATGGAAGAGACCCTGCTATTTCTGAGACCAGCCAGAGCAAATCCATGCAAAGACAGTTCCAGAGTGGCTGTGCAGATGAGCAGCAAGTGAAATCCTCAGGCAAATGGCAGAGCTGAAAGCAAAGCCTTCACAGGATGCTTTGCATCTCGCTGCCCTTCTTGGCTCTCCCCACTAGGACAGCAAGGACAAGGGTGAGTGCTGGCACATCCTGGCTACTGAAGGCTGATGCCACTGCAAGAGGACAGTCTTGTAAGTCTAACATGAGATTACTTCTCCAAAGAGTGACCTGAACACATCTGAATCCTCAGCTTCTTGGGCTCAGAGTAGGAGATAATACACCAGACAATTTTGAGGACAGAGGTCTGACTGGCTGTGTTTCTGCTTCATAGCATGGGAGTACTACATGCCACAGATGATTTCACATATGATTTGGAGGAGAAATTCATTAATCTGTGAAGTACTGTAAGGACCGTGTGGTTGGGACAGCCTGGCTCAATGGAGTAAAGAGAGAAATGGAGAAGCTATTTAAAACAGGGAGGAAGAGAAACCATTGATGAGAACAGAAAGGAAACAAAAGCAGGAGTGTCAGGGAGAGACCAGGAGACCCCCAACACCGGGGCAGACAACTCTTCCTCTCACGGGCCCAAAGAGCCCAAAGGACCAGCTCTGCCAGAGGCACCTTGACACAACTGTGAGCCCCACTCACAGCCCAGTGTCTGGCAGCTGAGCAGTGTCTGTGACAGGATGGGACTGGGCTGGGCCACTCCCAGGCTGGAGGTGGCCAGGCAGAGCCTGCCAAGAGTGCCCACACCATGGCTCCCCGCTTCCATTCCCACAGCCGACACGTGTGCATGCCCACTCTGCCTGGAAACATGGCACAAAAACACTGCAATGAAGTACACATGTACATACATACATGGGGTTATGGACTTAGTTAAGCAGAGGTATAAATAGAACTAATTAGTAAGAGGGAAGGTCTATTAATGTTCTTCTCCAAGTCATAGACTCTTTTATCTTTTTTTTTAAAGGTTTTGTCTTGAAGCAGCTTTGGTTTTATATGATCAGGTTTGCTGGTTTTGATAGTTTTGGAACAGAGCTGCTGATACATTTAGAAAATACAATTTGGCAGTGTCAGCCCACACTGTGTGTTGGTCTGTCGTGTGGGGGTGGGTATGGACAAGGATCACAATGTGAAATGTGAACTGTAACTCATCTCCAGAAGAGAAGTTTATGTAAATTACCATTAAAGCCTTTACTCTTGTTTGCTGATAAATTTATAGACATTAGCATCAAGGTAGCAATCAGGATTCATCAGCTTTACTTTTTTATAACCTGTTAGTCTCTGATAACTTCTCTCTTCAAGTGACATACTGTAACATTGTGCAGTATTAAATGATATGCACAAATAAGTACCTAATGGTAGATTTAAAGATGTTGCAGCAGTCCAAGTTCTTTCATTTTCCTGATTATAATGGCATTTGCATAATGTATGAATTCAAACATTATTGCTGTTAAATAATGCATAAATATTCTCCCAAGCTGAAATACATCTATTTCCTCTCCATGAATTATTTTGAATGTATCATTCAGTTGTTTTTCTATTTAAAAATGTAGTTAGAACTCTGCATATATCAGTATTATGACTGGAAGAAGTATCATCACAAGTAGTTGGCTAACACTCCAAACTGTAAATGAAGTATACATTATTAAATGGGTCATCTCCTTCCTTCTTCAGAAAGCATTATCACCAGAATACAATATTTAGCGTTTCTGAAATGTCAGAAAGAAATGCAGGTACATATCTGATTATCTGGCAGGTCCAAGGAAAGAAAAAAATAAGAACAACATTTTGCTCATCAATCTGAAGGGAATATGAACGTGGTCATATATAAAGAGATAAATCTGTAAGAGAGGATTGTGTGAGTTCTTGAATAGCTCTTTGTGAAACTAAGCACCTTCAACACCCACTGACTTCCAATCTCATATCCCCCAGATGATGGACCCTTTTATTTATATTTGGTTCTATGAAATGTGCCATCCAGCAAACTCTTAGATAAATTCTGTCAACATTGTCACAAGTCAGTTACATCAATGACAGATGACAGGATGAATAAAAGGACTTCAGGATTCAAGTATCTAGAGTTCAGCACAAAAAAAATTTAAGTCGGCACAACATTCAACAGTAAAAATGCCAAAATGAAAATAACATAAAATATATTTCCCTCCTGGGTCTATAGCCCAGCTGAAATGGTCAAAGAAGGTAAAGAATGCAATAAAACCCCAAAGACTCAAAAATATCCTGTATATATGCTTACTTAGAAATGTGCAAGTGTACAGATTTGCCTGCTTCTCCCTAGCGTCTTTTTCCCCTGCTTATGCCACTGCATCATCTTTTTCATTAAATATCTGCTTTTTGCAATTGCAGTGTTTAAAGTCAGATTTAAGTATTGACTTGTAATTGTATTGTCTCTCTCTTTTCCCTCCTCTAAAATTCGTGACTTTTTTTTTTAATTACTTTTTACTTACCATGTAGACATGACTTAGTGTTTCAATTTGGACTCTAACTTGCTGGATTCTATTGTCTCAGTCAATTTTCCATTTGGTGAAGGTAGAAAATAATCAAGTCTCCAATAAACATCATCTATTTTTAAAGTGTGTCATCTTTTACAATTTGTCATTATAATGCTAAAATGTGTCTGCATCAGGGCCATCACCATTACTTTACCCATATAAACCCACACACCTACATATACATACATGCAAAGAAACTATTTATTCTGTCAAATAGATTTTCTGTCACTGCTCCTCCCTTTTTTCCTTTACTGCTTTTGATGGTATAGTGGAAATCCACTTTTAAAATCTAATAAACTGATACAGTGGTAAAATGAACATATTTTGCTCACACTTGTTTTAAGTGAGTCTGCATAAAATGGAGAACATTCTGAAATAGATTTGATCAACTTGAAACTATTGCAAATAAAGCACAGAAAATGTCATATCTTAAATTCAATACACTTGTTAACCCAAATAAAATAACTATGAAAATTCATGTCAGTTTCTAATGCATAGACATCTCAAAAACAAAAAACAACAACAACAAAAAAAAAAAAAAAAAAAAAAAAAAAGAAAAAAGAAAAGTTAATGAACAAATGGTTTACTATGAATAAAGTCCTTGATTTACAAGATTGGCTATTATTACGCAGATTGGACCACCTCATAATACCCACCCAGACACTGCCTAGGGAGACTTAACTCTTCCCTTCCCAGCATCTCCCAGGTAGCTGAACATTTGGTTAAATTTACCCAGACTAACAAGTATCACAATTGGGGCTAAGTTTTCAAATCCAGTTAATGAATCCGAGTTACTCTCTCTTGGAAAGAAACATCCACAAGACTAAGCTGGAATATTCTTTTTTTCACCTGTTGAAACAAATTGTGTCAATTCCCAGCATACAATTAGCAAAAGGCTGACGAGACAAAGGGGCTGCCCAGAGCAAAGCTTCTCTAAGTGGTATCTGCTGGACTTCAGCAATTTTTGCAAGTCATAAAGAAAGAACTAGGCAGGTGGAAAGAAATACACTCTAGTTAAAAACACCTTTGTTTGATTCACAAATGAATTAATGAAGTATGAAACTCACCTCCGTATTTTGTTGTGGGTTTGCTGTCAGGAGCAAAGATGCATAGTTCAGAACAGTGACAAAAAAGAGCAGCAGTGTACATTTGAAACACTACTTCCCATGGACCCTGCGCCTTTGATTTCTGCCTTTAATACTGATAAGAAGTGACAGCAGTTGGATAAAACAATCAAAATTGGAGTTGAAGAGCTTATAAACCTCCTGACACTTCAATAAGCCAAAAACCAATACAAACTTTAAAAGAAATCATATCTCCATTTTGACTCTGCAAGGCCACATAAAGCAGAACTGAAACACACACAGAGGGCTAGAAGTTTACATCCTGATTTATTTTACTCTCATTTCATTAATTTTAATAAAAAATAAATGTTAAATTCTACATGGATAAGTAAAATATTTTATAATCTTTTAGACAGTTACTGCCAGTTCTCTGAAGAGCTTTATGCCGGCTGCTAAATATCTACAAATCAATATTTAATATTTTGAAAGATGAAGTCTTAATTATCCATCTCTCCTCTAAACATCAAACCAACTTTCAGTGAAAATACAACCATTCACCTGGCAATG